AGGAAAGTAAAATCTCTGAATATGTTCAAGAAATACATTAAAGAAAGTTTTTTAAGGGATATGAATAAGTATAATTTGACTTGATAGGACTTTTTTCTTTTTCTCTTTTTTTATTTTTATTTTAATTATTTTTAATCCTAATCAGTATTGTATTAATTGAAAATCACACTTCAAAGTGAAAACATATTTGGAAACAAAAGGAGCAGACTTTATAAGATTTTCTTCTTCTGCTGCCTTTCATTTTGTTTTTTCTCTAAGATATAAGTTGTGTATTATTTGTAATGTATTTTTTCTTTGTATTTATTTAAAAATTAAATGAAATTTTCTTTTAATTGAATTGAATTGAATTGGTGTCCTGTCTGTTCCTCCTGAGAAGAGTTTTTCTGTAGGTTTTTGCTGCCTTCAGGCCTCTTTTTGCTCTTTAATGAACCTTTTTGTTACATTTTTGCCCTGGGTCACTCTGCCAGCCTGTCCTCACAGGACCAGTGTGGGTCCGACTCATCCACAGTCCTGATCGATTTCATGTTGATCGGTGCAGCTGTTTCTGTGCTACAGTTGACCAAAAATCACTGATGATGATAATAATAATAATAATAATAATAATAATAAACTGTAGGAAAACCATAAGGGGCTCAAACTGACTGATGTTGATCCTAACAGATGTTTCAGGTTTCTGCAGCATCTTCATCTTCTGGAGGCTTCAGGTCCAGGAAGAAACCCAAGTCTTTCTCTCCTCAGAGACCCTGTCCAGGACCTCCTGTTGGACCCCAGGCCTTCCCAGACCAGAGACAATATGAGGAAATGTGACGTCAGGTTGATCTGATGAAAACTATCTGATTCAGAACRACAGACGAGGAGGAATTCATCAAAATGTTTGTTGTCCCACAGTCTCTGTCCTGAACTGTCCTGATGAGACAGCCTGAGACTCAGCTCCGGTCCTGTCAGTGATTGTTGTGGAGGTTGTGCTGACTCTCAGCTGCAGCRCATCAGCTTGTGTTTTATTTCCTCCCGTAAAGACCTGTGTCATGTTCCTGAGACAGTTTGTCAGATCCCCACCAGGAAATAGTCACCTCCTCGTCCGTTCCCGTTCTTACGGCTGTCAGAGCAGGATAAGGTGCTGGATATTTCCTGCTCCTGGAGGTGACAGGCGGGATAATTGGCTGCAGTCACACCGAGTCCAGCGGAGGAGCAGGTTCCTCTCAGAGACTCTCCTCACAAAGTTCTCTGTCAGATCTGCTGAAGAGGGCAGAAACAGCACCGAGTGTGMGGGACAGGCTGTGCCGGGGTACATTTCAGTGTCTTTAGCAGCCTGGGGGCTGTCTAACAACTGGTGCTTATTGTTCAGGCTGGTGTGCACGTTCAGAGGTTTTCAGAAACATAAGTGTTTGAGCGACCCTGAACCTGAACACCACTTTGTTTTTACTCAAATTAAAATCTCTCCTGAGTGGTTTTGGTTTCATCCTTCAGAAACTCACCACTTCCTGTTCTGCTGGTGTCTGAGGAACAGCACCAGTTTGACCCGGCAGTGTCAGAAACCAAGAATAATCCCCAAAACATTTTTGTGTCTGATTATTAATTCCATAACCTTTTTAATCATGTGTGTGTGTTGAGGTTTTATTTCTCACAAATAAAGGATCAGTGAGGACAGTTCACTTGTTTTTCATTAAAAATGCTCTTTATGTTTTTACATCTCCTGAAATATGTGGAGCCATTTATAAAGTTACACAGTCAAAAATTACCACCAATATTTTTGTTTTATTTAGTCTTATAAGAAAAAATGAACAGATTTATTTTTCAATCAGTTTTCACCATATGATTCATACATTTATAAATGTCATAGTTTATAAACTAAATATTTAAGTTGCAACCTAAACATTTAGCTCAAAACTAAATATCCTTTAACTTTGACTAAAGTCATTTTTTGGTAAGATACTTGTACTTTTGTGGTACTTTGTCCCACACTGATCCTTYGTCCTGTTTGGTTTATTGTGCAGCACTTTGGTCAGCCTTSTTGCTGTTTGTGTAAACTCCATCTTGTTTTGCTTCTTCGTGGTCGGGTCATGGAAGCAGCAGATCCTCCAGATCCACAGAGACCCCCTTCAGCTCCTCATGGGGAWCCCCACGGCCCAGACCACAGAGGACTGATGACCCCTCCAAAGAGTTCTCCCCAGAAAACCTCCATCTGGAGGCGTCCTCATCAGATGAACCACCTCAGCTGACTCCCTTCTATGCAGAGGAGCAGCGACTATAAGCTCCTCCCCCTGTCTCTAACCCTGAGTGTTTCTAAATGAACTGGTCCAGAATGGTTTAATCAGCGGTTGTTGGTGGCAGTGTGTGATTAATGAACAGGACTCATTTTGTTTTGTTAAAGTCGATGGAATCCAGACCACTCAGACCACCATCACCTCTTCCTCTTTAAAATAATTATTTGGGCTCGTCGCCGTCCCAGACGATCCTTTTACGACCGGAACGATGTGAAAGATGGATTGTTTTAAAACAGTCTTTTACAAAACGTTAACGTTTAAATCATTTCATCCATCAGCACAGGAAGTGGCGGCAGCGTTYGGCGGCAGTGATTTACTCACGGATGAATGTGTCTCCTCAGCACGGCCCATTTCCCCCTCCGCTCTCCTGGGCACGCTCAGATTGTCTGAACGCACCCGGAGACACTTTACACGTTATAGCCTCTTAAAGGCCTTTTCTGCCATGATATAAAACTCTAAATTGCAAAGTGAGAAACCTGTTAATGGTCCTGCGCTCCATAGTCGGCCATTTTTAAAGTCAATCAGTCAGAACCCAATCAGCATTCCCCTCCGCTCAATGAGAGACAGCAGGATATTAAATTCCCACAGCCTTGTGTTATCACAGATATCCATTATTGGGCTCAGGGGCATTTCTGAGGGAAGGGATCCAATTGTTTTTGCCCCTTTATTACTCCTTACATGGTGTGAGCTTATTCATTCTTCTCTTTCTCTGTGAGRTCTCCTCCTCCTCTTTCAGCTCCAACTGGACCTGACAGCAAAGATTACAACAGAACACTCTTAACAATCACACAGGCTGTTTGCTGATTTTAACCTCCACTGTCCTGGACCAGTTAGACCATCGGGGTTTTGTCTTTTTATTTTGGTCTCAGAGCTAATTTTATTTCTAATAGCTCGTTTATGGTCAAATAACTAAAGTTTTACATTCAAAGCAGACGTCAAACAATAAAAAAAACACCAGTTGGTATAAAGTTGTGTAAAATAAATATTAAAAACAGATTTTAGGTATTTGCAAACCTCCAGGAACAAAGCAAATGTTTAAATTAAGAAATTGTATTTTATTTTCAGAAGTGCAATACTTTTTTGTCTGTAAATTATCAAAMAWAATCCACATCAGTCCTAAATACAGTGTTGTATAAAGTACCTCAAAGTGATACTTGAGTAAAAGTACAAGTAACTTATCAAAAAAATACTTTGGTAAAAGTTCAAGTCTTCTCTAAAAATATTACTTGAGTAAAAGTCTTAAAGTATCTGATATTTTTTGTACTTAAGTATCAAAAGTAAATCTCTGACACAAAATCTACTTAAGTATTAAAAGTAAAAGTACTGGGTAAAAGTCTTAAAGTATCTGATATTTTTTGTACTTAAGTATCAAAAGTAAATCTCTGACACAAAATCTACTTAAGTATTAAAAGTAAAAGTACTGAGTAAAAGTGAGCAGTTAGATTTTCCAAAATGACATTTATTGGGAGGTGACTTCTCCAAAAACTATATTTTCTAACAGCGTGCAGCTGTGATGGGTTGTGTACAAGCTAATAGTGTGTCAGAATGGTATATATTTATACTTCTCATCCAAACACAATTAAATTCACTCTATAGGAGACACAGTTTATCAGGAGAGGATTTTTTAAGTAACAACTCAGAATAAAACAGGAGTAACAACTTTCTACTTCTTACCTTTTTAAAAAATGTAGTGAGTAGAAAATACAGATAAATGTGTAAAAATATAAGTAAAAGTAAAAAGTATGCTGAAAAATAATTACTCAAGCAAAGTACAGATAACCAAGATTTCTACTTTAAGTACAGTAACAAAGTATTTGTACTTAGTTACTTTACAACTCTGCCTAAATATATGTAATATATCAGCATAAATGGAGAGGTCAAATGTCAATTTAAATAATAATTGTTAAATGGTTCAGTTAAAGAACATGAAAGGAAGTGATTTTAATAAAAATAGAATAAAGTAAAAGACAACATGATCAGCCTGTTGGTTTAACATTCAGCAGCAGGTGAAGGAATGTCTGTCCTGTTAATGGACTCAGGTGTGGGCTTGTGTCGCCCTCTGGTGGCTGCTGTGGGAACTGTYCGTGTTTTCACATCAGAGCCTGTTTGTTGACAGAAAACAAGGCGGCTTTTACACTGTAACCATGTTAAACATAAAGCACTAAAACAATCATTACAACATGTGTAGTGTTTTAGTATCATCAATTCTGTCTGGTCAAACCTTTATTTGTTTATCTTTTTTGTATTATTATTATTATTATTATTATTATTATTATTATATCATCCAAAATGCATAACTTTCTTATACCTCACCATATAACTATTATATAAAACTGAGTCATTTGTTGTATAATGTGCAACCATACAAACAGCAYGTTTTGCACATATTCGAATATTAATCCAAACGCCATGCGGACTGAAATAACGCGGCTCATGATAGTCGGATTCTGCCTCACCAAACTTCATTGTTTTATTTACACTTTTTAAATTACACAAAAACGCTTGAGGTGCAGAAGTTGTCTGATTCCATTTACAAAATGAAGTTTTGTTTTCCTGATGAACTGCGCAGTTCGTCTGTTTACAACGCCACCTTCAACGCCTTTTTCATGGCAGAAAGCGTAGAGGAAGCGACGGGAAGATTGAAGCTTTAATCGGCCAATAAAAACGTAGATCAACGCGTTAATCCCCGCCTTTGTCAGAAATCGGCCAATCACAGGCCGGATCAGGAACTTCCGCCACACTCTCTGAGCATGTTCTATTGTAGGAGCGTTTCGGGAAGGTTTCCGCGGCTGTGTCGGTGCAAACTGCTACGTTTTGTTGAAGTTGCACCGAACGAAGCGGTCCATTGCTGCTTCGTTTTTAAACCCGAACCGAAAAGATTGACGTCGCCGGCGGCGAAGTAGTCGGAGGTTACCGGGACGGAGCGCGGAGGTCTCAGCGAAGGAATCCAGCCGCCTCCTCCTCCTCCCTCGGCGGCCGCTCGGCCACCTTCTCCCCGGCCAACACCGCACATAACCAGCGGTAGCGTTGTGTTTCCGACCACCGGGATGTTTTTAATCCGCGGACGTCCCGTTTTTAGTTGGTTGTAAACAGAAAGCGGAGGGCTGTTAGCTCCAGGAGCAGCAGGTTAGCCGAGTTAGCTGTCCGGCTGCTAACGTTGCCGGCCGGGTCGAAGAAAAGCAGGGCGACGCGTGAGGTGGAGGCTCCGTGTTTTATTTAAATAAATAAAAAGTTCCCGTTTGAGATCCGCTGCTGCTCGGACCGATCCAGCGCCCCGGCCGTGCAGGATGAATGGGTTCAGCACCGAGGAGGACAGCCACGACGGGCCGCCGGCTCCACCGTTCTACGGGCAGAGCTGCTGCCTGATCGAGGACGGGGAGCGCTGCGGCCGCTCGGCCGGAAACGCCTCCTTCAGTAAGAGGATCCAGAAGAGCATCTCCCAGAAGAAACTCAAGCTGGACATCGACAAGAGCGTAAGAACCTCTTTGTTCCGACCTGTRGCAGGTTCCGGCCGGGTTAGACTCTGTCATTAGTGGCGTGAAATCCAAAAGAAAAGAGGCTGTTTGGTGCCGGTGTTCAGCTGCATTTGGTGACCCCTGTGTGTTGGCGCTCTGTTTAATCTGACAGCTCAACGTGTTGACCCACATTAACCCACTCCCTCCACCCTGCCGCTGGCTCTGAGGGGGGGGGGAATGTTTTTAATCTCTTTATTATTAATAAACAGTTTGTTTAGGAAAGTCAGAACTTAAAGATGTTCAAGCTTCAGCCTGAATTTTGACTCCAACTCGGTGTTTTACAAAAATCTGTGACCTCACGTTCTGTGTCCTGTTCAAAAGCTGCTCTGTGCAGATTTTACAAGGAAAACAGGTTAAATTGTGTATTTAAATAACTTTTATATAAACTTGTAGTTTATTAAAAATGTTATTTTACCTTTACTTATTAAAACTCTTTAGGTCAGAGCCTCTCAAACTTATTGGGAACCCCTTTTAGGAACTTCCTCCAAAACCTAATCCTGATTAAAAATAATTTACTGCCGTTTTACCCCCTAAATACCATGAGAATTATGTATTTTTAAAGTATCCTATTTTATTTTTACGGCCCTAAAGTTACAGCTCACAGACAGCTGGGGGTCCTAGGACCCCAGTTTGAGAACCTCTGCTTTAGATTAAGAGAGGCCTTTACAACAGCCCACTATTATCAAGATAAAGTCCCTCAGGTGTCTCCAACACATCAGAGTCTGCAGGAACCAGGCTGGTGTTGACTCTGAGCCGGTCCACATGGTTGGTGTGGGACAGGGATGCTGGGAGTCATGTGACCTGTGCGGTGAAAGTTAGACTCCTCCCCTTCCTGTGATGCAGCTGAACTGGAGAGACACGTCTCACTGCGTTTTGTCTTTTGTCCTTAAAGGTGAGGCATCTCTACATCTGTGACTTCCACAAGAACTTCATCCAGAGCGTCCGGAACAAGAGGAAGAGGAAGACCAGCGACGATGGAGGAGAATCTCCAGATCATGATGTGGAGGTGCCTGAGGTGACGACATTTATTATAACAAACAAACACTGAAGTCCACTCACTTTACTGCGTTTATATCACATCAGTTTCTTTAAGACGTGTTTACGGATTTAAAAAGGTGGTTTTGTTTATTCCATTCAGGCTCCAGGCATTACAATATGAATAAACATCAATAAAATAAWACAAACTACAGAAATTATATTTCCTGTGAAAATGCTGCTTATTACTGTTTGAAATGTGAAAGAGGAATAAAAAGCTCCAGTTAGCGGAAAAAGCAGATTTATACCTTAAATAGTCGCTGACACAAAATGAACTTAGCACCCAGGTTGTGAAAGACTATAAAAAAWGTCTAATTATTAGAAAGAAAAGTACAAAAACATGATCAGTTGTTGGAAAATAGCTAAAACAATATAAATTTGCAGTAAAACTGCTAAAATGTGTATTTAGCTTTAAAAAGCTAATTCGGTTGAATTTGAATTGTATTTATTTAATCAGGACAGTGTGCAATTAAAACATAAACATAAAAACATTCGATGCATTGATTACATCTGTAGTTCCTCAATTTAATAAAAACAAAACATCCAACAGGAAGATTTATAAGGGAAAATAACAAGGAGAAAAATAAAACATTTTGCAACTAAAAAAAAAAATACATAAACACCCCACTCTCTAAACACATAATTAAAAAGTTATGTCACTGAACATCCTATAAACATTTGATAAATTGCACCTTATTTAGCGATGGAGTCATTTCATTGACATCTGTGTTTCCACCAGATAATAAACAAATATACACATAGGTAATAAAAACATCCAAAATAAATAAATAAATACATTTAACAAAGATCTAATAACAGTTGAACATTAGCTAAAATTGTCGCAGTAAATAGCTGAAAATAGCAGAAATTCAAAAATACTTTAGTGATCCCAAAGGGAAATCAGAAACCTTCTGTAAGATGTAGAAAGAAGCAGAATTATAGCTGAAAAAAAGCTAAAATGATCACAAGGAAGGTAAAAAGAGCAGAAGCAGAAGAAAATGAACAAAAAGTGCCGTAAAGATTMAGAAACATTCAGAAGGATGTTGAGAATAGTGCTGCCACTAACGATTCTTTTTATAATCGATTAATCACTGATTATTTTTTCAATTAGTCGACTAATCAGATCAAACGTTAATTGAATATAAAACATAGAGCTGATCACGTCAGAATGCAGCTGCTATTATATAAGCATGGTTAGATTTTAGCTATATGCTAACTAAAAATAATWGCTGTGGAAGGTAAGTTCTGCTCTGCAGATATTACACAGGTTTCTCTTTCATTTTCTTCAAATGATGCCACACTTTGAGCTCTGTTGTCAGGTAGCCATGATACCAGAGCCTGTCTGTATAATGTCTTGTGACGTCCACGGCCTACCCCAGTTACCACTACTGTGCATGTGTGTCAAGGACAGAAAGGCAGACGTGGCAGTGGAAGGTGTCAAAGCAGTTTGGAGAGAAAAACAAAGAAAAGAACAAAAAAAGGAAACGATTAATCGATTATTAAATTAGTCATTGATTAATCGTTGCAGCCCTAGTTGAGAACTCTTCATTTTCACCGGCAAAGAGTAAATAAAGTATAAATAACTGAAATACAAAAAGTGTTGAGACTAAAGACAGACAGGTTCTGGTCTCACTGGACTCAGACAGGTTCTGGTCTCACTGGACTCAGACAGGTTCTGGTCTCACTGGGTCTCTGTCTCCAGGTGGATCTGTTCCAGCTGCAGGTGAACACTCTGAGACGCTACAAGAGACACTACAAGCTGCAGACCCGACCCGGACTCAACAAGGCCCAGCTGGCAGAGGTAACAGTTTTCTGCTTCACTCTGGAGACATGGCTCCTCCTCCTCGTGCTGGAGGCGGGGCTTAATGGCTCCTCCTCCTCGTGTTGGAGGCGGGGCTTAATGGCTCCTCCTCCTCGTGCTGGAGGCGGGGCTTAATGGCTCCTCCTCCTCATGCTGGAGGCGGGGCTTAATGGCTCCTCCTCCTCGTGCTGGAGGCGGGGCTTAATGGCTCCTCCTCCTCATGCTGGAGGCGGGGCTTAATGGCTCCTCCTCCTCGTGCTGGAGGCGGGGCTTAAGTGTATGCAGTAAAAGCAGGCTCAGAAAGCCCCCCCTCCCAGATCAGGACCCTGTTAGATGATCACACTGATTGTTTCTGGAGTCAGGTGGGTTTTCATCTTGTAGGCGGGGCCAGCTCAGGTTTCTGGAAGTAAAGCTGAACAGGTGATAAAATGTGTGATTAGTTACAGTCAGAACTTCCTGCAGGGCTGGAATAAAGGTTTAGCTCAGACCTGGACTCTGGGGGGTCAGGAGAACTGGTTCAGTGTGAAACACGTGTTGTGTGTTTGTGTGCGTTCAGACGGTGAGTCGTCACTTCCGGAACATCCCGGTGAACGAGAAGGAGACGCTCACCTACTTCATCTACATGGTGAAGAGCAGCAAGAGCCGCCTGGACCAGAAGGGAGACGGAGCCAAGCCGCTGGACTAAAAGTTCCCCCTCAGAACCACAGCAGAACTCATCTGACCCACCCCACCCCCCGTCGGACCAGAACCCTCTGTCCTCYGAGGACATTAAACAGAACCCGAGGCGGGATGAGCAGTTCCTCCAGAACCAGGTCCAGAAACACTGTCCAGGACCAGAACTCTGTGTTGTACCGGTCCACAGAAACCCACTTCCTGTTCTGAAACGACTCCATTAAATGCAACGTAGAAAACAGCTGCCTTAAGAGTGACAACAACATGTTTGTTTGTTTTTATTTTGGTAAACAGACTGTTAACGGATCCAGGAGGAGGGAGGTTTGTGCCAAATTAGAGTTTTTATAAACAGATTGTTGAAGAAGAAGAAGAAGAAGAAGAAGCTCCTCCATCTTTACTCGGAGCTGTCTGAGCTGCAGATCCTCATGAGTTCTGTTGAATTAAAGCTGAAAGTGGCTCAGCTGTAAACTCCTTCCTGCTGGTTCCTTCACATAAACACTCATGTCTGTCATTTCACTTCCTCTCTTTCTTTTCTTTCTCCATCGTGTGTAAAGTCATCTGTCTGGATATTTATCSTTTATTTTTTATTTTATGAATTCTGAGTTGTGTGAGGAATTGGCTGGATTTGAACATTTTAAAGCACTGGTTCTGAGTCTCAACCAAACATTTTTTTTTTATCTTCAGCAGAAGCATTTATCACATGAAAATATTACTTATAAATGCAAACATTTATTTAAAAAAAAGCATTTTTTGTATAAAAACGAGTTCAGAGGACTCAAAAATTGAACTGAACTCAACAGATTGGCCTGAGGTTTGAAGCAGAGGAAATCTTATTTTTCTAAATCCTTTGTGCTGTGGATCTACTGATGATCTGAGCAGGGCTGAAGTCTCACCTTCGTCTTCAGAAGCTCCTCCTCTTCCTCCTGCTGTGTTTCTGTTTTAGTGTCGTGTAGAAAACACCGTCCTCATTAACACGTCTCATTATCCTAACTGTTGTTAGAAAAAAACAAATCATATTTAAGTCCGGCTGCGACCTGCTCTTATTAATATTAATAAATGTATTGTACAGGAAGAACCACCTCCTGCTCTGGCTTTGTTCCTGAATTTCAAAATAAAGTTCAGTTTCAGTTCCAACGACCCACCAGCAGGGGTCGCTGTTCTGCTTAAAGAAAAGATTGGATTAGATCAGGATTCTGCTGCTTCCTCCCAAGTTTAAACACTTTAAATTATATTTAAGTAAACTCGTTATTTACAAATGATTGAACCAAATTTGAATCAATAAATTAAGTATGTTTAAAAGTATTTGTGTTTTAAACTTTCAGTCACAAAATCAGGACAAAACGTGTAAAACTGATAATAAATTATCAGTTTTTGTTGCTTAAATTAAAATGGTCACCTGCAGAATTAAAATCTTAAAGTAAAAATGAGATTTTATGTAAGATTTTAGGTTTAAAACTCAACATTTTCTTAAAAAAGACATTAAATTAATTTTATTTAGTGTTTGCTGTTTCAGTCAGACAAGCAGAATGTTAT